ATAGTGTACAAGAAAGAACTGTGTGGGGCAGAGCTGTACTGCTACCCAGCATGTCCACAGGTGGTGAATAGGGGAATGACCTTCAGGAAGGTTCGCTGTGAAATAAGCAGGGGTAACTCTGATGAATAAGCAGTCACAGACCAAGCAGCAGCACCACCAGGATGTGGCGAAGATGGCAATCGTTTCCCACCTGAAAAGTCACATATATCCTTTGAGAGTGCAGTGACATGACGAGTGCAGGTTACCACTATAGTAAGCCCGCCCAGCCCCCAGCTATGGGTCTACAAGTCCTCAGCAGAGCAAGTGGAAGAAGGTATTAGAATCCCAATGGCTGTGAAGGCAGATGAAAGCTGCAGCAGAATGATATCCCCAGTTGTTTTGATCTCCTTGCCATTGAATCAAGGTCCCATTCTGTCAAGTGCCGTGTGGAAGCTGATGTGTAGTAGCTTCTCCACAATAAAATAAGTCACACACAGGCATCTTTCATGCCCTTTGGTGTCCAGATGGTCTGGAAGCTCCCGGTCATGAACTGGCACGAGGGCAGTAGCTACAAAAAGGTCATCTGGCACACAGATGAGACAGGAGTGCAATTTGGCAGATGTTACTGTGACTGAGGAGCCCCCCTCAGGACCTATGAGGTCCCTACCAGCCCCTAACTTCTGTGAATCTATGAATCCACTTTGCTTACCCCACATGGAGAGGGGCTAGAAAAGGTGCCCTAAACATAGCCTGTCTAATACAGTAGTCTGTATTTCTTCCCAAATGGATATCCACATCAGGTTTACCGAAGTCAAAAATACCAGTGAAGATGCACCATTATTTTCAGGACCTGGAACTTCAGGACCCGCATGGACAACCCTAATAGTGAACACCCAGAGTAACGCACTGCAATGGTGGCCCAAGAACTGAGGTGACAACATCGATATAGCTGCACTGAGCAAGACCTGGCAAGTGGGATATGGGCAGCTCAAAGAACATGGAGGCAGCTATATCTTCTTCTGGAAGGGTAGACAGGAAGGAGAACACCAACTTCACAGAGTTGGTTTTGCCATTAAGAATGAACTCATAAGCCAACTCAATGAGCTCCCTATCAGAATTAATAAACGCCTCATGACTCTCCATCTTAAACTGGCAGGGATTCAATATGCCACTGTCATCAGTGCACATGCCCCAACTCTTGATGCCACTGATGAAATCAAGGAGGAATTCTATGCCAACCCTGACCAAGTCCTTTCTAACATTCCATGCATCTTGGTGATTTCAATGCCAGAGTTGGAAGGGACTCCAACCACTGGCAAGGGAGGACTAGAAAAGGTCAACTACAATGGCATTCTCCTCTTGACCAAATGAATGGAACGTGGACTCACCATCACCAATACCCTGTTCCACCAAAAAAACAGGCACAAGACATCATGGCAACACCCATGATCTAAGCATTGGCACCCAACTGACTGTCATCATCATCTGTGCCTGGGATCACAAACATGTCCGCATCACCCGACCTATGCCAAACCTATGCTGGACTGATCACCAACTCATCTGCTTGGTTATATAACTCAAGCTGGCTCCCAAATGATGGCTGCAGCAGAAGCAATCCCGACAGAAGATCAATGCTGAAGGACTCAAGGATCCAAGCAAGCGAAACCTCTTCCACCAGTGCCTCTATGAAAAACTGGTGAATTCCAATCAACAATAGGAGAATGTCAGCAGCATTTTGGGTGCCCTAAAAGCTACTGATATCAGTGCCTATGAAGAGATACTTGGATTCTCTACCAGGAAACATCAAGGCGGGTTTGATGAGAAAGACTGGGAGGTGAAAATGTTGATTGACCACCAGTACAAGGCCTTTTGTGCTTGGCAAAATGACACCAACTCCAGGCAAAAGAAACAATCTCCAACAAGCCCAGGCAGAGGTCCAAAGAACAAATGATGGGAAGACAAGGCTAAGGAGATTAAACATCTAGCTGGCATCCATGATATGTGTGGCTTCTTCAATGCCACCAAAGCCATCTACTGTCCGAGAACTCAATGACCATCTCCCTTGAGACCTGATCAAGGAAAGGGGAGACCATCAACATCCATTGAAAGAAGCATTTTGAAGACCTCAATCAAGACACAGCTGTTGACAAGAGTGTTCTCAACTCCATCCCACAACACCCAGTCAGAGAACCTCAGAATTCCTGCAACCCTTGATGAGGTGAAGAAAGCCATGAAAGCAAATGAAGAACAACAAGCCACCCAGAAAGGATGGAATCCCCACTGCAATCTTCAAACAGGGAGGAGAGGAGCTCATATCATAGCTTCATGCCCTCATGTTAAGGATCCAGAATGATGAGGAAATCCCAGATGACCTCAGGGATGCCATGACAATCTTCAAGGAAGGGGACAAGTCTGACTGTGAAAACTATAGAGGGATTGCCTTGCTGTCCACCACGAGAATCATTGTGAGATCTCTTCTGAACTGTCTCCTTCCACTTGCCGAAGAGCTCCTCCAAGAATCTCAGTGTGGGTTTACGGTATTAAGAGGCACAACTGACATAATCTTCACAGCTCACCACCTGCAGGAGAAGTGTCAGGAACAACATAAGCCTCTCTACATGGCTTTGACCTCATGAATACTTTCAACTCTGTACGCTGAGAAGTGTTTTGGAGGATCCTTCTGAAGTATGGATTCCCACCAAAATTTGTCACCATTCTCTGCCTGCTCCATGACAGTATGCAAGCAGTGGTTCTCAGTAACAGATCCCATTGAGGATAAAGTGGGAGTTCAGTAAGACGGCGTCATTGCTCCAACACTTCTCAATATTCCTTGCCGGGATGTTACATCCTACCACCAACAAGCTTCCAGCCAGAGTGGAGATAAACTACTGAATGGATGGTAATCTGTTTAACCTCAGCCAACCCCAAGCCAAAACCAAGACCACATTGACCTCCAGTACACTGATGATGCTGTAGTGCACGCTCACTTGAAAACAGACCTTCAGGCAATCATCAATATCTTTACCAAGGCAGACAAGGAAATGGGATTGATGCTTAACATCCAGAAGACTAAGGTCCTTGTAGAAAGGACTCAACCAAGCCCTGTACTCACTGGGAAGATGACTGCCAGTGTGATCCCCAGGCAGTGGATCCCCAGATGGGCTCGCAGAAATACAGTGAGCCGACAGCATGTTCTGCTGTGTCATCTCCTGGACCAGACAGGCAGCCAGCAAGCAGCATGCTCTCCCCGGCACAATGCCCAGGCCAGGGTGAGACCCAGAACCCCAGCTCCAAGTGGACATGGGCCCCAACCCAAGAAAAGAGCAGGAAACTGGCACAGAAAGCACCACCTAGGGCCTGGAAGCCACAGGTGCAGGAGCTCATGAGCCCCTCTGGGGCTCTTAGCACCTGTCAGCAGCTCCAGGACATGTGGGAGTCAGCAGGGGTCCAGGTTGACCCAGACCAACCTAGAAATCCTCAAATAAGGTTGCATCACCTGTGTGAAGGGGTGTGTGTGGGTGGGGGAGGGGGGACCAGCATAGGTACTGGTTAATGCCATATTCCTCCACTGGAGCTGAAGACCTGGGACCATGGACCAGGACTACTCTGGCTTTCTCAACGGAACCCTGACTGCAGCTCTACCACAGGAGATCAGGTGCCTTTAGGGGCTGCATGGGCATTTGTGATACCGTGGCTCCCGATTGCCCAAAGGGTTTGACTCAGGATGGATCAGCCTGTTTGTGCTGGGCTCACATCAAGGGCAAGTCCTGAGGAGCCCCGGCTACCTGGAGACAGGTGGCTGAGATATCCTACTGGGCCAAAGGAAAGCCTGAAGCAGGCATAGATGTGGTTATTTAAGTTATATTGGTTTATTCCCTTATGTGGGCCAGACGCTGCAGACAGAAGAACTTTATCAAGACTAGAGGGCTCCGCCAAGGTGCGTGGACCACCGGCGATGCAGTTTCCTTCCATCACTGACTCTTATGCCTAAACAATGAGGCCAGATGCCTGGTACAGCCAAGTGTCTATTCTGAGCACCAACAAGAATACCTGAGTGGAAAGGGTTGGGGAAGGTGAAGCCCCACAGAAGACTCTCAGATGTCTAATGTCTATGAAATGTCATGACCCACACCAGTCTCACCCAACCCTCTCCAGCCAAGTACCACCTCCTGGTACCTTTTTTTAGTTACACCAAGTCATGGCAGGTGAAATATGAAAGCAGGAGAGTGAGACACCCACTGAGCATGCAGCACTCAGGCCCTACCCCAATGTAGCTGCTCGGCCTGGGTCCCTCTACAGTCCTCCCCCAACAAGTTCCTAATGAACAGATCCCAGCTCCATCAATCCATGATCCATGGTGAGACTCTGGAGAACGCTATTTCCCATACCTCAGAAGCTCTCTCTCACAGAAGGCTGACATCAACAAAGAAATCCAACACTGCCTCAAATGTGCAAGTACAGCCTTTGGACACCTGAATAAACGGGTGTTCAAAGTGCACAACATCAGATCTGAAACGAAATTTGTGGTTTATCAAGCAGTTGTGATCCCCACCTTCCTGTACAAAGCTGAGACATAGACTATGTAAGGACACATCTAAAGTTGTTGGAGAAATATCATCAACACGGCCTGTGGAAGATCCTCCAAATCCAGTGGGAAGAGAGAGAGACACCAACATTAGCATCCTCCTGCAAGCAACCACCACAAGTACTAAGGAAATGATCATCTGGATGTCTGACTGCAGACTCCCAAAGCAATTTATGTTCTCCCAGCTCAGCTAAAACATACGTTCAAGAAGAAGGCAGAAAAAGCACTTCAGGAATGTCCTAAAGGCCAACTTTAAAAAATGCAACATCAATGGCAACTCATGGGAGACTATCACCCAGGACCGCCCCAAATGGAGGAAGAGTCTGCTGCATGGATCTCAGTACTTTGAAACAACATGACAACAACAGGAGATGGAAAAGCAGGAGTGGCAGAAACAGCATGTCACATACCAAATACAAAATCCAGTGCCACCTACCTCACATGGAAACACGTGTCCAAGTTGTAGCATTGTCTGTTGATCCTCGATAGGCCTCATCAGCCATCTACGGACACACTGATAAGGCAGTCATGGAAGACAATCATCCTTGTCTGCAAGGAATTGCCAAAGATGAGAAGAGTTGAACATTTTGTAACAATGTTGAAAGGAAAAGTGTTAATTTGAGTCTCAATGGATGGAGCAATATACACAACTATCCAGTAAAATATGCTTGTGTGACAACAGAAGACAGGATTATTTATCCCACAGAAGCAAGGGATACACCAGGAAATGCCCATACTGCAGGATATTGAAAAGAACTAGCAGTAAAAACTATAACAGACTGCAAGCAAAAGTTCATGTGACATATGCAGCCTTGTCACAGAAAATGTTGCCAATGTAGCAAAGATAAGGATCTTAGAAGATGATAATGAAGCAAACCTGAAACATATAATATGTGGATGCAGTGCTCATTTGAAGCGTCTTCTACCCAGAGATTTACAACTCCAGGAATAAAGAAAAATATTGTTGAAATCACCAAGTACTTCCATAGCAACCAGTTTACTTCAGCTTCACTGAAGAGAACGGGGGATCCAAGCTATTTCTCCCTCAAGATGTACACTAATTCAGTGGTTGACTGCTTTCAGGTATTTATTAAGAACTGGCCTATTCTGATGACCATCTGTGAAGAAAATGGTGTTGAAATTTGGAAAGAACTTTAAAGAATAAACATTAAAGCAAGAAAAACACAACAGCAAAGTTAAATTGCAGGCAGTTAAGAAGTGGATAGATCAAGCACTTACTCCACCACATTTTTTTTGCAAATTTCTTAACACAAAATATCAGGTAGATACCTAACTGCTGAAGAGAAAACGCTTTTATTTCATGAGCATTTACTCATCGCCCTTCAGTCATGCCAACCATAATACATTTCAAAGTTAGGAGGTGAAGCATTCAAGCAGTACATGGTTGTTGACAAAGTCATGCCACTGAATTGGTGGAAGTCACTACTAAAGCACCCGAAAGCAGTTTGCTGAAGTGCTAAACCAGCTTTTACCAGCAGTAGCTTCTTCTGAAGGTGCAAAAAGAATATTGTCTTCATTTGTACTCATTCACCCAAAGCTGAGAAATGGATTGGGAGCTGAAAAATCAGGAAAGCTTATTTTTCTGTTTCAGTCTATGAATAAAAAGGAGGAGGAAGAGGAGGAGGAGATTTATAAGTGTAGCAGATTTTGCCGTTTTGATTGGTGGAGCCCATCCACCAATGAGGAGGCAGCAAGAGGAGTTGAGTCGCACCCCTTTCCTGAGAGGAGGGAGAGAGGAGATCTCCCAGACCTGACTGTAGACTGCAACACTGTCAAGTCCAGAAGACTTCAGGGGCGGAGCCCTGGAGCATATAAAATGAGCCGCATGCCCAGCATGAGGGAGACGCATCTGGGACAGAGAAGAGAGAAGAGCAGGGCTTAGAAGAGCTGAGGAGAGCTGCACAGCACAGTGAAGCAGTAGCCCGGAAGCACCCCTGAAGACTTACATCAGCAAGGAACAGCGGACGACTCCAGTGGCTAGGCTCTCAGTGCACAGCATGGCACACGGTGTCCAGACCCTAGGAGCTGCGTGAGGCGGCTCGGTCTGCAACCTCTGGTGTGCGGCCAGACGTGGTGCACAGGCCAGGGCACAGAGCAAGATCTTTGGAGCTCTTGGGCGGCTCAGGTCCCCAACCCCCGGCATGAGACTGGGAGCTCAGTGCAGGAGGCGCTGCATGGAGGGTCCAGGAACAGACCGAGCCTAGTGCTGCAGAGGCAGCCTGGGCCTCCAACCCATAGCAAAAAGTTGAGTCCAGGGAGCCAGACGATGATCAGGCTACTGAGCCAGTAGACAGGGCCGAGCCAGAGGCCCCAGAAGCCCTGTATAGCAGAGACCCATTTCAGGGGACAGCAACCCCCCCACCCCCACCCCCAAAGCCCACCGCAGGTGAGAGAGCAGTTTGGTATAGAGGACAAGGGCCACCTTCTAGGCCTGGGAGGCTTGAGTTGCAGGGAAAAAAGGATTCCCAAAGGAGATGGGGAGTCCCCTCTGGTTAGTTAAGGGCTCCTGAAAGTGGAAGTCCCACTGGGAGGGCTCCCCTTAAGTTACCAGCTTCCTTGATGGGCTTGGGAAAAGCCATAGAGCACTGGGGTTTCCCCTTGGGATTCAGTTCCTTGAGCCATAAGTGGTGTGATGTCATGTCTTATATTTTGTGAACTCTCATGTTGTAAATTAGTAAATGAGTAGAGACCTAGGGCTCTGCTGGGACCCCCTGTTGCCATCATTTCATTTGTTGTTTATTTGTATTTATTTGTGGCTTATTTATTGGTCACCTATACTTATCTATCATTTATCTGTTGGCTATCTAGGTTTATTTTGGGGTTTATCTGTGACTTGCTTGTATCTGGAGCACTGATGTAAGGTTTTATAGCATTTACCCAGAGGGTATTGTTTATGTTATTAGTTTAGATATTATACACACACATATATGTATATGTATATACACCCATGTTTCTTTCCCTTGTGAAAAGTTAATGTAAATAAATTCGTACATAGTTAAGTCCCCTGACTGTCCTGGCCTGGTTCTATAGGGACAGAGGGAAACAGAATTCTGCAGTTCCCCCACAGCACACCTGCCAGCTAACAATTGCCTTCAACTGGAGAAGGGGAGTATATACCCGAGTACACCTGGGCTACATGAGTTTTTAAAGTTTAAAAAAAAGGGAATAAAACATTTTAGAACAAATTAGGCAAGTTGGAACTTAAGCTCAAATGACTTGCACCTAGACATTCTAGAAATTTTTCTACAGTGACCTGATATAATTGGTTTAATTTACTAACCACAGTTAGTGGTGGGATTATTCCACATCTGTGGTTGGATTCTTCCCACGACTGGGCAGTACATATTGAGGGTTATAGGCTGTACTGAAAGGACAGGGTGGGGAAGAAAGGGGGAGGGGTTGCGCTCTATGTCAATGAGCAATATACATCGACCCTCATCAAGACGGAATCGAAGGAGGAGAAAGTAGAAGAATTGTGGGTTAAGTTACATGTGGGGCAAGGAGAAAGGGATTTGGTGGTAGGGGTCTGCTACAGACCCCCACACCAAGGGGAAGAACTAGATTCGGGGCTCCTGAGGCAGCTCCCAGAGACCATAAAAACTAAGGAGGCGGTAGTCATGGGGGACCTAAACTACCCAGACATCTGCTGGGAGACACAGACAGCAAAGTCCCACCGTTCATGCACATTCCTA